AAATATGAGACCCTTCAGAGAATGGAAGACTTGCTTGGCTTAGAATGCGTACCAATTCAGGATTTGAACCCTTGACCGTGGACGTGGTAAGACGCAACACTTCGCCACTATATGGCCTTCGCCCTCATCTCCACATAAACGTGATGAAATTGGTTACTTCAATAGTTCGCAGGACAAAAAATACCCATCGATCGGAATGCAATCACTTAGCGCTTGTAATGGAATAGTTCCCGCGAATAGGGTCAAGTTGTCCTCACACAAAACCCGACGAACCTTCCAGCATTTCTGAGAAAGCCAATGTCAGCCAACGCCTTCGAGCAGAGTTCACAACGGAAACATTCCGGATGCCAACTCGCATTCATCGCCTTGATCACGCGACCAATGATGAATTCATCTGAAACACCCAATGATGTTTTAACAATTCTACGAAACTCTCGACGAAAAATTCCTGAGCGACCGACTTACTGCATTTTCCACAGCAGGGAGCGTACAACACATGAAAGTCGTGTTCACAGTATTTTCTACCTTCGAATTCGAAATAGATGCCGTCTGGGAATGGTTCGAAGCATTGTGCACATCTGAAAAAAAGGCTTCCTAGTTCGAAGCAAATTTTCTATTCATTCTATTTTTTTCATGGCAAAAAGACACAGAGCCATGCAGCACTAGACCCACGTGGTCAGCGCATTGTAAATCGCTGTACCGTGTTTATGATCTAGGTTCCCCGAAGGGTATCTCGTACTAAGGTCCCATGGCGGCAGTCTCAATGAAAATCAATATGGATGGCGTGCACATTGGTTCCATGACATTTTTCATACTTGGAGGCGTGGCCACGGGACGAGTCGGCCAGTTCGCGCGGTCCTCAAACACTACCTTGACGCAACCGCCTACAAAAGTGGAAGCAATACCGACTCGTCCACTTTCGCCGCGGCCACGCCTTCTGGAGCCGTGCACGTTTTGATGCTGTCCGAAGACATTGGTGTCACCAAGTATGTAATTACTACAGGCCGTCACGCGGGGAACAGAATATATTTTCCCATAGCTACCTTTTTCAGTGATAATGTGTCCACCATAGCAAATAAAAAAAAATAGCACATAGGCTGCTCTTTTGTTTGGAAAGCAATCCGACAATCAAAAAAAAACTCGACTAAAAAAATCTGAAAAAAAAAGTTGACCTAATTGGGTACAGGGTGGCATGTGACCCGTTGGTTGGACTATTTTTCTCTTCGAATAGCGAGCAGCGCTCAAATTTAAACCTGCCCCTAAAACTTTTGCACTATTGCGGCTTCAGAAAACCCTGTTTCTCGTGTAAATTTAAATTTTAAATTTCAAGCCACACTGATAGTGGTGCTGCATAACCTTCAAGAAATGTTGGAAACACTAACCACAAACATTCGGGTGCCCATACTTGTCCGCTGGTTGACGATTGATCTTGTAGAGAAAATCCGTCGTTACACCTGAAAAATTTGATATTGCACTTGAACTTCTATTTTGAAAACCAACGTAAGACCATTATCAGCCGCAAATAAGGGTCATATGAGGGAGCAAGGGGTATGGTCCTATTGGTACGACACTATCGCTCTTTGCTACGCTATTTCCATACAAGCAAACCAGCCTAGGTAATCAATCAAATAATTATAATATGAACAAGAGAAGGTAGGTAAAATAAGTCTGCAAGTATATACTTTCTGCTGGTGATACTGTAGCGCCGTTCAGGGCGTGTTTTTCTTGAAAACTGAAAGCCGCTGAACAAATATTTAGTATCACTTCGAAAACTTCGCGAAACAACAACAGTACTAAGAAGTAATAGAAAGAATGCATATCACTACTATTCACAAGTTCCTCACATTCCATACCTAGAAGCCCCCAATTGTGGTTACGCAGAATATCCACGACTCTCCAAGCCTTCTTGAGCTTTTCTGAAATCCACAAACCTCATAATCCTAAGAAGGAGTAGTCAATCACTTTGGTTCTCTCAGCATCATGTTTGTGCCAGTTGTGGGATATTTAGATTTTTCCATCCATAGTAGGATCAACCGTGGCTGATTGCAATATGCACGACCCCTCCCTCTTCTCTAATGGAGAAAAATGTAGAAATGTTAATGTAGAAAGTTTGGAGACCGGGACTGTTTAACACACTTCCAACCTTGGCCCCCCAAAAATGGAAAGACATAATCAAGCGTATAGCTCGGAGACCAGGACGAAGAAGCTCGTAGTCCAACTAGCGATGCAGAAGGAGGAGTAAAGAAAACACTCCTTTCTACAAAGTCAGAACATACCATTCTCATCGTCCCACTCAACAAGGTAGACGGCCGACCTAGCCATCAAGTTTTAAATGAAAGTCTAGGACCCCAAGCTGAACACCTGATTGTGAACAAGGTGGCTCCACTTCTCAGACCCAAAAAGAAGTAGGGACGACTGTAGGTGTACAAAATTGAATGGGTAGAATCACCCAAGAAAATGAGATATTATCGCGTCAGCGAACATTTCGATAATTACTTGCAACGCCGGAAATGGAAATCCAAACCTGATTATGGCAAGATCGACATGCCTTTCTACGTCTTTAATTGTATTCGATCTTCTCAGGATCATATTCGAAAGGATTTTCAATTACCAAGTCGAATCGGTCGTGAAACTTTCATTTTATAACCTTGACAACATGAAAAGAGGGCGTAAAGTAATAAAATTCCGTGGTACTGATGCTCCCCAACATTCAGCCAGAATCAACTGTGGCGCTGTGCCGATCTACGCGCTTCCTCATTCCTCTTTCAGAGTATTCATGATGGATGAACCGAAAAAGACTCTCATGCAGAGAGGAAATATGTATGTTGAGACGGCAAATGTTTCTGGAAATTTTTCCAGAACATGCTTCACAAAATCCCACTTCCAAAAATTTCCCTTTATTATGTCTTCCAAAAATTTGGCGCCACTTCGCGAGATATGCAAAATACCCTCAAAATCACAAAGTACTACTTTCTGTTGGACCTGGTATAATGGGCAGTTGAACCCTGAGTTGAACTTGCGCTATGCGGGGGATAAACTCCATACCTTCTGAAGCGTGCATTTCACGCTCTTTGAATGGTCCTATTAATATCTCAACGTACAGGAAGCATTCGAAAATTACGTGGTCCACTTACCTCACGCAGATGAGGTTTTCGAAGCCGTGAGCGAGAGTTTCGAAGCCGTGAGCGAGTTCTCCATTCACGACATGTTGTGTCTCCATTCCCGCGCACACCATTTGACTGAATAAATGAAAAATTGCCGAGATGTTGCCAAATAACTACGGGGCGCGAAATTCAATATGAAGAAACGAGTGAGAGAGAACAAGCGAGAAAAGATGATGATGACGAATCGATGGCTATACAATTGACAGAGCCAGCACATAGACGTGCGCTGCTACTGCTGCTGGTGAGCGCGTAGAAACAAAACGCTGTAATAGACAGCTGAGCTCTCGAACAACGCGTGGGAAGACAATGAAGGGGCACTCCATAAAGGCCGAGATAGGCGCTATAAAATTCAAAGAAGAAGGAAAACATAAAAGCAGATCGTTTGCTGCTAGGCCAATCCATGATTCAAGCCGTGCATTCGACTTGCAATTGAAGTTACACAGACAGTTGGATGCCCGAGTGACTCGTATGCTTCTGAACGTCGTGTGAAAGCCAACCTCTGCTGAATTCACACCTTACGAGCAAGAAACTAGGTCATAGAGGAAAGGGTAGGTGATTTTGTGAAGATCCGTGCAATTCAGTCCGAAGGCTATGTATGTAGATGGTAGGTGGAGTCTGTAGCCAATGCACCAATTTCTTGTGCTTTGATAATCCATAATTAATTGATGAAGGCAAATCAGTTCACAACAGTAGTAAGAATAATTATAACCACAATCTTAAAAGATGTTGTTGTAGCGGAGCCTCTTAAGAATATGAATATTGAGGACACAAACAAGAGCGACTGACGATAAAATTAGTAAGTAATGGAAGTGAGCAAATAATAATGGAAATCTTCCGAATTTCATTTCAAGACAAAAATTTTCATCATATTTTATTTCGTTCAACTCATAGTGTGAGCAGTGGAGGTGATGTCAGGGAGAAGTGGTGCTACTTCTCACGCGCACGGTCGAGGTATCAAATCTCGAATCTCACCCATGCCAACCAAGACTTCCCTCCTTACGATAGTCGCTCAATTGATAACAATTAGCTGAAGAGGACAAACATGCTAATTCGTACATGGTTGGCCCCGCAAGACATTGCATAGGCTAAATACCATTCAAATACTACTACGGTTCTGAGTAGAAGTAGAGCGCATGGCGTATCCCCAAAAGAATCGATCAACGGCGGAGGCTTTTCCATTCAATATTTTCCATTTAAAAGATTACTTCAGTATTATATTACTTATATTAACTATTATTTACATTATATATTACTTATATTAACTATTATTTACATTATATATTACAAGTACACTTATTTATATGTATCTATTTCTGGGCAACTCTTGGTGGTTTTAGAAAACAATGTATACGTCTTCCCCAACACAAAAAGAACAGGGTTCAAGCTTACCATTAGAAAAAGGATTCGCATGAAAAAACCTTCAGAAGTACCTCTGCCTGGCGAAAAAAAAGTAAACAAAACCTTGTAAGAGTATGTATGAAAGCCGATAGGAAGCCTGTAACGTACCATTTCTCTGATGGAATCTAACGAAAAGGAATTGATAATAATTAGACTTGCTCCAGAGTTCAATGTGTTATAAATAGATGGAATTCATCTGCAATTGATCTTTTCAGTATGCACCAAGCAGTCATCCGCCCAAGTATTGGATTGTTCGGAAAGTTTCCGCGGATTTTGATCCTCAAATTCAAAAACGCAGAACTCGGTGCAAATAAAATATTTCTGATCAAAGTAAAAAGCATCACAGCTGCTATACTTTTGCCTACAAAAAGGGTGTTCAGTAGAACCAGATGTTAGAAGTGCTGGAGTTGTGTGGGCAAAAAACTCAAAGACGGTCGTTTCACCACCCAGTCGGGTTTTATTGTTTGATCTCTTTGAAAAGACTATCCAGATGGCTGGAAAAGTGGCAGTTGGTAGGCAAGAGGTCTACTGTGCAAGATGTTCGCAGCACAGGTTCCTAGTTCAACTTGTGCACGGCTGGAAGTGCGAGATGGGCTGCGCAACTGTGGGGAGAAGGGTCGACGGCACCCACTTATCGACGTGTTTGGACGTTTCACCCTTACCTTATATTGAAACCCCAGCTCAGTT